TATATATATATATATATATATATATATATATAATATCAGAACATCGTAGTCTGGTGAACAATATAGGCCTACGCATTCTATAGCAGTGTGTATTCCCAAGTGTCATGAAGAAAAAAATTAAACTACCTGTTTCTAATTACTTGTCCTCAAATATTACTTATAAAAAAGCTTTAAAAAATTACCTTTTTTCTTTCAGAAGGTATGATGCTTTCAGATAAAAAAGGGCAAGTAGCAAAAGAATTTCGAAAATCTAGGGCTCGCTGTAGTTGCTCCTACAGAAAGAAATACAAAACATAACCTTCAAAAAATGTAAAATAATTTGAAAATCAATTCAGAGTGATAGTAATCTAGAATACTAATTACTTTCCATATTCTAGCTACCTCACCAATATTGTGGTACCAAAAAGAGTTGTTTTTAAGCCATTACTTACTTGGTAAGTGCTGATAACAAAATGTGTCCTTTGACGAATTCTTTCTGGTCGTTCTAAAGGATGTGCTGAAACAGGAGGTGCCTTTTCAAATAAAAATTCAGAGCCACAAGGAGAAAGCTGTAGTCTGGAACCATCAGCATATTGCACTTGCACGGAATCATCTTCATAAAGTACCATTTGCACTTCAGCTGCCATTACTATGACTACGGATAAAATGTCCTTCCAAGGAGAAGACTGAATAGGAAACAGGGTAGCACAAATTGTTCCCTTAATGTACAAAAGTTCTATCATAAAAAGTGAATGCATTTTCTAAGAACATAAAGAAAACATATTTTCGTTGCATTTATTTTTTTGGGGGGAAAAGTGATTACTTTACTACATACTTTTAAATGATCTGAAATTAACAACCTTAACAGAATGCCTTACCCCCTAGAGCTTTACTCCAGGGTGGGAAGATAACCTAGAGGGAGAAGAAAGCCCACCTAGTTATAACTGCCTTTACAATTTCAATAGCTTTAGTTCTTCTGAAGCTTAAATTCTGTAAATTCTATGCTCAGTAACTAATTTCAAATAAAAGGAAATTCCACCTTTGCATAAGAATACAGCAAATCATTTGTAATGCATGCAAAAGGCAGGCCAAAACTATCAGGCCTAAGAAAAAAGAGTACTGAAAAAGAAATCCCAATACCTGGATTTTTGTCCCTAGTCTGACATTAAAGAAGAAGTTCCATGTCACTACTGAGCAAGTTAATTAATCATAGAGTGTCTTAGACTCATTCTTACTTCACTGAATTCAATTTCTTTTTCCCTACCTTTAGAATGTGTCATCACCTATGCTTTCCATATAGGGATGACTGAAGGGGAATTAGAGGGTGGGGTTCCATTCATACTCTACAATTTACTAGACTAGTTAAATGCCTCAAGTTGTCTGTTTCCCTTATTTGTAACATGAGGGACAGTAACAGGATTGTTGCAAGGATTAAACAAGGGAACACAGGGGCGCCTGGGTGGCGCAGTCGGTTGAGCCTCCAACTTCAGCCAGGTCACGATCTTGCGGTCCGTGAGTTCGAGCCCCGCATCAGGCTCTGGGCTGATGGCTCAGAGCCTGGAGCCTGTTTCCGATTCTGTGTCTCCCTCTCTCTCTGCCCCTCCCCCGTTCATGCTCTGTCTCTCTCTGTCCCAAAAATAAATAAACGTTGAAAAAAAAATTTAAAAAAAAAAAAAATTAAATAAATAAATAAATAAATAAACAAGGGAACACATTTGCCAGTCCCAGTATTGCAATGTCGAGTTCAATAAATCTTATGATTCCTTTCTAACACCAACCCCATCCTCTCTGACACTTACCCACCTCCCTCTAGGACATCATCCTTTTTAAGACTTTCCTTTCTAAACACTAACCTAACCCCTTCTAGAACATTATCTTTTGCCACTCAGGTGATCAACTTTCACCTGACAGAAAAAAGTAACGTTCCTCAGTTTACCTTTTTCCTACCAAAAAACTTCTCAAGTAAAGTATCCACTCATTATCTACTTTCACTCCCATCCATCTTCAATCCATTGCAATCCAGTTTCCTTCCACCTTCGTGCTGGAATTGTTGCACTGATTCAGAACTGTCACCAATGCCTCCCTGCACCCAGTAACTTCAGTCTTCATCCTACTAAACTGGTCCCTGTGATAGTGTTATCTACCTTTCTCTGCACCGAATTGTGTTCCTCTGCCTTTTTACTTTTTTAAAAAAAGCGGGAGTGGGGGGGGAGTGCCATGGTTTACCCCACCGCATCTACCTGTTTTTGATTTTTTTGTTTTAAGTAGGCTCCCCACCTGACGTGGGGCTTGAACTCATGATCCTGAGGTCAAGAGTCACATGCTCTACTGACTGAGGCAACCAGGCACCCCTACCTCTGTTCTTAGTTTAATCATTCCTTTTCACCATTCTCTTAAATCAAGGATTTAAGACCTGACCTCAGTCCCCATTTCATCTCTTCTTACTATATACACCCGTGTTGCTTTTACATCCACCCTTGGTTTTTAAAAGAGTCTTGGGGCACCTGGGTGGCTCAGTCGGTTAAGCGTCTGACTTCGGCTCAGGTCATGATCTCGTGGTCCGTGAGTTCGAGCCCCGCGTCGGGCTCTGTGCTGACAGCTCAGAGCCTGGAGCCTGTTTCAGATTCTGTGTCTCCCTCTCTCTCTGACCCTCCCCCATTCATGCTCTGTCTCTCTCCGTCTCAAAAATAAATAAACGTTAAAAAAAAATTTTTTTAAAGAGTCTTACCCCCTTTCAATGTATGTAATCGGCTACATATGACTGGCCTATAATCTTCTGTAGAATATGTCAGAATATAAGTAAACATTAAACCATATGGTCTCTCCTGAGGAGAGCCACACAATTTTATTTCTTCTCTCTAGAGAACTTCCAAATCCACCAGATCCCTCCCAGTGCTTCCAGCTGCCTGATAGACCTCTCTTCATGTTCCACTCAATCCACATGACTAAATTAATCAAACTCAATCCACATGACCAAAATGGAACATAATCACTCCCATCAAAGCAACTTCTGCAACGTCCCCTAATTTCACTTTCATTCTTACCTCCCTCAAGTCCAGGCTACATACAATAGCCACAGAGATCTTTTAAAATAAAAATGAGATCTATCACATGCTGGCTCACAATCTACCATTCTGCACTTACATGACATTCCTAACCATGGCCTATAACAGCCACATAATGTGGCCCCATCTCCCTCTCCAAATGTCATCTCATAACTCTCTCCTTGCTCAGGACACTTTAGCTACACTGGCCTTTTTAATGTTTTTAAAACAGGATGTTTCCTATATCAGAACCTTTGCACTGTTTTTGGCTTAGCCTGTCCTTCCCCTGGCTTATCACATGGCTGGCTCTTTGTCTTTTAAGCTTAAATATCACTTCCTCAAAGGCCTGACTTTATTGTTCCCAGTCATCTCTCAATCACTTTTTATCCATTTCATCTTTCTTACTCATAGCATCTATCACTATCAAAACTGATTCTATTCATTTGATCGCTTTTTGACTTTGCCCACCAGGGTATAAACTCAATCAAACCAGGCCTCATCTGTCTTACTCACCATTGTATCCCTGGCATTTAAAACAATAGTTGGCAAATACTAAGGGTGCAATAAATATTTATTTAATGATGAAAGAATAAGCAAGTGAATTTCAAAATTCTTGTTCCTCCTGAATTTGCAATTTAAGTTAATGGCGTCTCAATGTTAGCAATATTTCTCTCCACAGCCCTGTAACATGTCTTGTTGATTTGGTAGGTTTCTTTTATGAACCCGGCTCCTTTTCCATTTCAGTTCATCAACTTTCCCCTTCATTTCTGCAACTATCTGGGACCTTCTTCCAGTTTCTTCCCTCTCCAATCCATTTCCAGTATTGCTGTTATAGGAACCTTTCCACTATCCAGACCATACCAAACATTTTACAACACTTGATTACATACTTGTTCGTTTAGCGAGCAATATTCATAACAATACATGTATTTATACTGCATATATGTAAACATATATATAGAAATACAGTTAATACATATAAATAGAAATATATATCTCAGATGTCTACTTGCTATTTCAGAAAAAAATAGAAATATATGTGTGTGTGTATATATACATATATATATATACATATATATATATCTATCTCAGATGCTATTTCATAAAAAAATAAAAATTGCCGAATGGGAAAAGATCTCTATGTTTGGCCAAGTTTTTAATTAAAAAAAAAAGTTAGAGATATAGTTGTTATTTACTTAAATAACAAGCATACACAAGAAACAGTGGAATATTTAAAGTTCCCAGCCTATCATAAAAAAACAATCCGGCTCCAACCCACATTTCAGCTTCATCTTTACCGTCTTATTCTTGTTTGTTTTCACCACCCAGTACATTACGTCACAGTATATTTAACAATCTCCGTACTTGACAAGTCTGTACTTGACATCAATTGGACCTCATTTTTCAAAATGGCAATATGTAGTTACAGAAAAAGCCTCACCAAAACAACCACCAACGTCTTGGGACTCAACACGGCAATTCTGAGATGAAAAGTCGCGGAAATAAGGCCAATCAACGGCCCCTGTGCTTTAATTTGCCAAAATGCTTGAAGTCTGCCCACGACTGCTTCTCGATGGATATTTCATGAACCTGACAAATTACCAACAAGTTATGTTTCTTGATGAGAGAAAACAGTGACAAGCGCAGAGGAATAAGGCCACAGGGAGAATATTTTTAGCCGAGACGTTCGTCGAGTCAGTAGCGGGAGAGAAGCTGAAACGCCAACCACCTCCCCGCAAAATAAACACAGGAAATCAGCAGTTCAAATCTTCCCTCAACCCGCGGAAGCGTCTTTCCTCTCCAAAAGACCGGAAGTCCCGCCCAAGCACGCCCTCTGTTCCGGGGGCCAATCCGTCGAGCGCCCAGCAAGGACGGGACCGGAAGTAGGGGAGGTGGGCGTTCCCAGTCCTGAATGTGGTTGCTTCCTCTTTGATCTTTACTTCCGATACTCAAAGGTTGGTACCCGCCCCACCTGGTTGTGACTCCTCCCGTGAGGACCAGCATCTGATAGCTCAGCCAAGAGCTAACCACATGGGTGGATTTTAGTGGACTAACGCTTATTTAATCTAAACAAAAATGATACCTTAATAAAGCTGTAAAAAACAAAAAACAAAACCGAAAAAACTTGGGTCAAAGAGACCTCTTCTTTTTCTAATTTGGTGTCAGAAAATATCTTTCAACTATGTATCTGCGCTTTTTTCCTAAGTAGCAAGTAGATGTGTCCGATAAATTTATTGTCATTAAGTATTTATGGAGAACCTACTATGTGCTGGGCACCTTAGAAATAAGGCAGGGAGTGAGACCCAGGGTAGAAGATGAGGACTGGAGATGAACTGGAAAGAAAGTAGACAGTAATTTGATCACAGTTGTAGTAAGTGTTCCTAAAATAGAATACAGAGGTCTGTGAGAGCATGTAATGGACAGACCTGAGGCTGAGGAAGTATTTCCAGTGAAATCCAAAGGGTAGGTAGGTTTAGCCAGGTACTGTGCGGGTGAAACTGTTTCAAACAGAGGTAACACAGGGCCCTGAGGTCCAAAGGAAAGATCTTGACCCTTAAAAAGCTAGTTTGGTTTAAGAACGGTTATAGAGAGAGGCTTTTAGGGGAGAGAAAGCCTGAAGGGGGTGATAGAGATAAGTAAGGGCTAGATCATTATGGTTTCATGAATTATGGATTCTATCTTAAAGGCAATGGTAGGGGTGCCTGAATGCCTTAGTTAAGGGTCCGACTCTTATGGTTTGTGGTTTGAGCCCCAAGTCTGACTCTGCACTGGCAGTGTGGGGCCTGCTTGGGATTCTTTCTCTCCCTCTCAGAAATAGACATTAAAAAAAAAAAAAAAAAAAAGGCAATGGTAAACTATTACAAGGGCTTTAAGCAAAAGTGGCAACAGCAAGGAATGGGGAGAAATCTAACTCCTTACATTCATCTCCATTTTTGAAAGTCTAATAAGCAAATTGACTTCAAGCTTATGTAAAGTATAATAAGGGGACCTTCAGATGCCATGTTTTCATTGACCAGTAACATCAATTTGTATCACACAGTACTTAGGTCCTATCCTGTTCCCACCTTTTTTCCCCTCTAATGACTAAGAACCTCCTATTTGTTAACCGTCTACTACAAGGGGGTTTTATGATGCTATTTGTACTTTAGAAAGATACCTGGAACAGCTGGGTAGAGAATGGATTGTAGGATGTAGGAACAGATGTGGGGAGCCCAATAGTCTGAAAAAGCAACAGGAGAGATGGCATTTCAGACTCAAGATTAGACCTGAGTCTGGAGAGCACAGCTCCAAGAAATACTGAGATCAATTCTATAGTCTTGGGGATGACTGAACAGGCATTGAAAAGAGTTCCAGCAGTTCTGTTGGAGCAAGTGGATAGGTAGCAGTGCCATCAGTAAGAGGGATGCAAGAAAACAAAGTTTAGGGAATAGCATGACTTAAAGTTTGTGAGTCGTCCTAGTGGAAATGGCAAGTTAGCAAAAAGTGTAGAAACAAACCAATCCGGAAGTCAGTGTTGATAGCTGCTAACTGAAGCTTTAGGAGAGGATTAAATAGCCCAAAGATACAGTGACAGAAGAAAATGTTCAGGAGTGGGCTTTGAAGAACATCAATACTCAATAGATTAGCTAAGGGAAGAGAATCCCACAAACACTGGGGAACCACATAAAGCCAGAAAGGCTATTCTATTCCAGGTGCCTAGTGGTTGTCAATTTTGGTGTCACTTGTGTCAGATATTGCCTAGAGAACAAGCTAAAGAATCAAGTATCTGCTTGATTTAGTGGCATAAATGTAATCAGCAAGAGCTGTTGTATGTAGTGGCAGCAGAAGCTATGTGTTTGAAGGGCAAATAGGAAGTAGAAGAAAATGGGATATTTGAAAAATTTCACTAGAAAGCATAGAACTGTAGTTGGGAGAGAAATGTTAAGGGCCAGATTTCTCTCAAGAAGAATGACATGTTTGACAGCTCATGCAAAGAGGTTAAAAAAAAGAAAAAATACAGACTAAGTAACAAGAGAGTTCATGAGTCAGAGGGCACAGGTTTTGGGCACACGTGGAATACTTGGCCTTTAAGAGGAGGGATACATCCTGTACAAGAGGAAAAATGAAGTGAACGCAGATGCATTTGTATACATCTGCCCAATTTCTTCTGTGAAGCAAGTCCTTAGGGGATGAGGAGCAAATAGAGTGGAGAGTTTGAGATAAACAAGGTAATAAACACAGATCGCTGGCAGTGCTGACAGCCTAGGTGGCGATTATGAATTTACACTGGCACTAACCTACCAGAAAACATGGCCTCCAGCTGCCTGGGTGAAGCAGGTCCATCCAGGGTTGGTGCTTTGCCAGGCTGACAACACAGTAGCAGTATACGTGACCTCAAATTATTTACGTATACCAAAGTCTAGTCAGCCAAAGATCACCAGGCTCAAGCCAGCAGGCTATTAAAATAGGGACTTGTAAGCAAGGGAGCAAACTCCAGAGAAAAAACAAACGGCATGCTACACCAGGGGGAAGAGGGCACCGACTGGTAAGATGTGGACTCCTGAAGGATTCTGAGCAAGTTCTGAGGGAAGGGATACTGGTTCTGTGTTGGATGTTGTTTCTGAAGCAGGATTAGGAGCAGGGATTAATTAGGGATGTGGTGCTGTCATGAGGGGAGGACTAGCAATTGGGTATCCCCAGGAATAGATGGGTGGGATAGCAAAGCAGGTCTGAAGACAGCATTGGTAACAAAGCAGTGGCCATGCAAAGGGTCACGGTGGCAGTTAAAATTGCATGACTTTGGGGAAAATGTGTCCTGTTAACTTTGCAGCTGGCTTTATCTGTGTCTGTCCTCCCAGACTGATTAACAGCAAGGGTACTTTTATTTCAGTGAGCAGATTTTCAGTCCTTCAGTCCTGAACAACTTTTTACTCTTTCATACCAAGTATCATCTTCTCTTGCTAAGTGTGATTTTTTTTCTTAAATGAGAACCTCCTCCATATCCACCTGTCCTATAGTTCATGAAATACCTAGTCATTGAATTGCCCCTTTTCTGACCATATCCAATCTAGAGTGAAACTCCAGTTTCTTAGGCCCTCTCCCAAATTATTCAACCAAAGCCCAAACCCCATGATGGGTTCTAAACACTCTCTCACTGACACACCTTACAGTTCCCCTTGGTGTGTATTCTGCTTTACTGCAAAAGTACTAAATCCAACCTGTTCAGATACAGGTGTGTTCCTGGTAGTCTTTGGCTGGAAGGGCACTGAAAACAAAGACATAAGGTCAGAGTTGAGGACACAAGAGCCAGATTTTGCTGGTACAAACCAATACTTGTGCTTGGTTATCAGAACAGAAGCCTAGGACATTCATTAGCACTTTTGTGTCCTTGCTCACTGGAGACCTATAAGATCTTAGGACCCATATTTCTGTTGAAGATACAGCAATTCTAAAGGCCAACAATTACAGTGCTGGCCATCTCTTCATGATATACTGTTGCAGTTTAAAACATGTCCGCACATTTCTTAATGGCCTCCTATCTGATATGGCTTTAATGACTCACTTAGAACCAAGACTGTAATGGAAAAAATGCTGTGTGCACCTTCCAGATGCAGCTTCTTCCTAGGTCTTCTACAATGCCCCCTCTCAAAATCCAGCTGCCATGTTTGTGAAAAGTCCAGGCCACATGGACAGGCCATGTGTAGATGGGTCTGGCCAAGTGATATCTTCAACTCATCTCAGCCCAGTCATCAGCCATGTGAGTGAAGACTCAAGATGATTACAGCCCCCGGCTGTTGGAACTGCCTCCAGCCCTTAGTTTTCCTGGTTGAGGCCTCAAACATTGCAGAATAGAAAACAAACAAACAAAACACAAACCCACAACTATCCCTATTGTGCACCATCCAAATCACTGAACCAAAGAACTCACGAGAATAAGATGCTTATTGTTTGAAGACACTAAGTTTGGGTGGTTTTTTAGGCAGCACTAATTAACTGGAACACACTGGAACTGAACCAGGGCCTATTGGTACCTGTTGAGTATAGCAGTGGTGAGTGACAATGAGCTAGTGGACAAAGCTGGACGGTTATTCACAGAGCAACTGCTAGAAGTTTATAGCATACTCAGCTATGATGTACTTGGTCCCCGGTCTAATGTACTGCCCCTTCCCTACACCCTTTTCCCCACCCCCAAGATTTACACTGAGCACAGTCCTTGGAGAACTGCAGATGAAGGTAATTATCTACCATGTCACAGGAGCCATTCTGAAAAAGAGAATCCTACTACAAGTTCCAAAAACCCCAACTATGTATATACTTCCCTTTTACAATAAGGAATCTAAAAGGTATTTTACATTTGTTAATTTTCCCAAGTAGACTTGTTATTGAACTAAATCACACACACACTGAACAAAATATCTCCTCTCCTAGTATAGTTTGATTTCAAACCCTTTTACAATGTCACATAAAAGTTCAACAGATATTCTTTAATATCAGGATATCACTCCAAAAACTTAGAGGAAACAAAACTATTTAAATTTTATTTTCAAAGTCTAATTTTAATCCAGACTGAACAAACAAGCAGAAAAGTGAGAAACCTAACTGTATTAGCAGACACAGATGTACCAAATGTAAAACAGTGGGTTATTAACAGAACTATTTACATGCATTATTTACAAGCAATCCTTTTGTACAGAAGTTTTACTTTTATAGTTAGTTGGAAAAAGACTTGACGTTAGGTAAAAATATTTTTAAATAGGGCTGAGGTGGTACTACATTATAGTAAAAGTATTAGAAAAGTGATCCTCAAGGTGTATCAATTATAAAGCAGATGAAAACCTGAATGACAAAGATCTAGTAAAATTCTCTAGTAAAAAAGTCAATGCAACTCATGCTACAAAATAAAAATGAAAGCCATATAAATAAAGCAGAATGTTGTTGGCTTTAGGGCAATGAAGTTAGAAAACAAACAAAAAACAACAACAAAAAAACTCAATTCTAGAATCGCAATAAATGCTCAATGAAGAATCCTGGTTGTTTAGTTGGGAGTTTTAAGTTTTTGTGGGTTTTTTTTGACATTTTAAAAGCCCTTGGTATCAAACAGCACTTGGATATGTATATCGCTTAATGATATATTCTAAGACTTTAGTGCTAAAGATTTTCATGGTTGTGATTCATATCTGAAACCCATTCATTGAGACCATGTAAAACTAAATGAAAGCTATATACTCATCTAAAAAAGGATGCTACATTTTGCAATAATATGTATTTCCAGCCTAAAACTTTTTCCCTCAAGAAAAGTAGAATTTAAAGGATAAGCTTCTAACCAACTAGCAAAATTTACTTTCAACATTTCATTTATTTCAAAATCGATTTTATTGCAGCCAAAACAGTGGAATTAACTGTACATAATAAACTATTATATATATATACACATTTTAAGTTATAGGGAATAAAGTTTATTTTGGCAGATAGTGTTAAACAAAATTAAAGTTGCATACATTAGTAACATAACTCAACATCCTTAATTTGGTATAAGTGTGACACATTTTCCTGCTTTCCTGTGTTCTGCTAAATCACCATAACCTAAACTGCTTTATAAAACTGATATGTTGAAATTTAGCTTTACTGTTTTCGCTTACGCTCTGATTCCAAACAAAACTTTTCATAAGCTTCTTCTATCTCTGGGTCCATCTCATCATCAATATCATCCAAGTATCTATGAAAGAAGTAAAGATGATTCATAAGTTTAATGTTTTTCAATTCAGAAATATCTAAAATGCTAAACCACACACACACACACACACACACACACACACACACACACACACACACAAAGTATGGTACTGTAACTATCTTAGACTGTTAGAGAATTCATGTACTTTCCTGAATCACATACAGGTCAGCCCTTAGACAACTAAATGCCTTATCTGGGAAATTCAATTTTACACCAGATTCTGAGTCTCTTGTGTTTGAAGTTAAGCTTCTGTCATACTTTTAGACATAAATTAAAACTTAAAAATTTAACCTAAGTAATCTCTACACCCCAAGTGGTGCTCGAACTCACAACCCTGAGATCAAGAGTCTCATGCACTACCGACTGAGCCAGCCAGGCACTGTGACACATGTTAAATTCTTAACCTAACCTAAAAGTTAATTTAAATGCTTGAACTATAAATTTGGGGGCTCAAGATTAGCATTTTCATAAATTTATCTTACTAACAATCACACTATAATTAGAACATAATTTCAGATGTACCATTTACCTCTAATGATACATTTTATGTCTACTTATCAGAATGGTATCCCTGAAATAATTTAGTCACATTCCCATTTATTTGGAATCACTTTCATAACAAGCTACTTTCGAGATCATCTATCTCAGAATTTTTTCAACTATTAGGTAGTTTAAACTATTAGGTAGTTTAAAATGATGGAAAACAAAGCTTTCCATGGTTAAGTATGGGTGGAAAGTTTAAAGTGATTATTGATTTAATAATATACATTCTTACTGAAAACCCACAGCCATCTTAAAAAGACAGGTACTACTATCATTTCCGTATTTCTCATCTCCATTTTTTTTTTTAATTTTTTTTCAACGTTTTTTATTTATTTTTGGGACAGAGAGAGACAGAGCATGAACGGGGAAGGGGCAGAGAGAGAGGGAGACACAGAATCGGAAACAGGCTCCAGGCTCTGAGCCATCAGCCCAGAGCCCGACGCGGGGCTCGAACTCACGGACCATGAGATCGCGACCTGGCTGAAGTCGGACGCTTAACCGACTGCGCCACCCAGGCGCCCCTCCATTTTTTTTTTTAAAGTAATCTCTATGCTCAATGTGGGGCTTGAACTCACAACCTCGAGATCAAGAGTCACATGTTCTATGGACTCAGCAGCCAGGCACCCTTACCATCTCCATTTTAGAGATAAAAGAAAAAAGACTTTGGGAGGTTAAGTAAATACTGTAAGATTTGGGTAAGTGTGTGGCACAGCCAGAAATCTTTTCCCTTTTCTATACTTTTCCTCTACAACAACATGCTATCTATGTGTCTCCCTACCTCACAAAAACCCCTTGCACTACATGTGTGACAAAACTATCTTGCCAGTTCTATCAACTTTTTCATTTTGTTCCTCCATTTCCAGTACAAGGCCATGTGCTGAAATGGCCACCAGTGTGTTAGTGTCAGAGCATGTAATACTGACCAAGCAAAACTTCACAGGACAACCTGAAATTCAAGGCCAAGAACAATTTGAACTTACAGTGGTATACCCAGCAGGGGTGAACCTTCTTAACGGTTTTGGAGTCCTTACATCCCTGCTATTATTTTTTTTTAATGAACTAGTATGTAAAAGTATGGTAACATTAGAAGATCTCAAATGGACTTAAGATTTCACTAGATAGCAGAGAAAATAAAGGTGGTTCACTTTAAAACCTACAGCACACATGAGAGAGGAGATAAGAAAAATTAAGTCAGATTTAGTTCATTCATTCCTCCACTTAGGAAGAGAACCTGAGTAACTTGTCCAAATTCATATAAACTATTAAGAGCTAGAACTAAACCTCTCAAGTTCTTGGTTCTTCTGTAACCAAACACAATGCAATCTGATGGTAAGGGTGTGACAAAAGTTTCTTTTATTACAAATAATAGCAGGGAGAGAGATGGAGATATGTGAATATCTCACACCTTCCCTTTAGTCCAAACACTATTATGTCATTATCGGTGTTCTCCTTAATCTTAATTTATCCTTTAACAGCTGAGATCTGAGCTTTTTACTGTGTGCCAGGAGGTGGTTCTAGGTTTCTCACTTAGTCCTCAAAACTCAAAGAGGGGTCTGCTATCCCTACTTTACAGATGAAGAAACAGGCATAGAACCTGCCCAAGATCTTACAGTATTCGAGCTGAACTAATCTACTTTATAAAACTACGCTTGAGTATACTACTATTTTAAGTTTTTCCCCTTCAGATATATATAACGTTTCAGAATTGTAGTTTATGTGTTCTAATAGGATTTCTTGAAAGTTTTTGGTAGACAAGTAGTATGTACATATCACTGTGACACCATCAAATCACAACGTGCATTCTTCATCTACCTTCTTCTAACCTAAACATCTACAAACTGTAGCCATAGAAACATCACAAAGAAAGCAGAAAAAAAAAGAGAACTTACGGATCACCAGCCCCTGATAAATCTGTCCCATTTTCTTCATAATCTGGAAAAAAATCTTCTCTTTCAAGTAACTCTTGATATTTCTCTTGGTAATCTGTAAAAAGTTTTTTTTTAGTTAAATGCTGACAAAAGTCAAAAAAGGCCAGTTTTCCTTAAAAATTGTTTTTAATATTAGGAGTTTTAAGTAGATCCAAGGCTTAAACAGGAGTGAGCTACCAATCACATTTTATTAGCTTTTTACAAAATTTACATTCTAATTGGCTTGCTTTTGCTACCTGCATGCCCATAGAGCTTAGTTATAATACAAGATGTCTAACTACATCTTGCAAATCAAAGTCACCGTGAATATACCAGAGTACAGGTCACAGCCAAGGTGTATGCTGCTTATATTCTCTGCTGCTTCATTCCAGAAGACAAAATACCAGCTACGTAACTTGTTGGGAAAGTACATGTTCTTCCAAACCTCTTTCACAAGGAAGGATTTCAATCAAATAGCCTGGCCTCTGGGTCCCCTTACTTTTCCCCAAGAAAGTAAAGTGAGCTAGGTGGCTAGCAGCTAACAGCCACTGGCCCATGTTTCTCAATCAGATTAGCTAACCTAGCAAAGGTTCTGAGCACAGGGGATTTTCTTTTCTTCCCTCTCCTTAGAGACAGCTGGAAGGTAGCTACTTGATAAATGTTTCAACTATACTAACTTTCCCTTGGTTGGGTGCTTCCAAGGCAATACAGGTAGTATTATAGCTCCCCATAGGCCAACTTCTTACACAGAGTTACTACGTGTCTTTTAAGAGTAGCATGTTCATACTGAGTACCTCTCTGAATGAGAAAAAGATCAGTGTGTATTCAAACTAGTTGCCTTAAACAGATACCTCATATTTCAACAGGATAATTACATTAGAACTTATTTTTCCAATTGCCAGTCTCTAGAAAACTAATTCCAGCTTAAAGAGTTGGGGATATTTTGACATCTGGTTTTGGCAATTTAGAGACAAATTTAACTATAAAATCTTCCTGCAACAGATCCTTGAGGTAATAGAGAAGACAACATTCTTTGACATGTACAGAGGGGGTTCATAAAAAAGCAAACCAAGTCACCAAAAAACAAGAAGATACCTGAAAACCATACCTCCCTACTGCAGCCAGGAGGCTGTAGACCACACGCTTTCAGCCACAAAGGGGACTGGACTGAAAAACCCACAGAAGGTCAGAAAGCAAGGTCCTGGGTCCATGTGAAACAGGGACATGGAATTCATGACCATGCCCACCTCTCCGAGCACAAATCCAGCACCCTCCAAGGGCGGATATCCCAAGCAAAAGGTAGACCAAGAAAAAATAAAATGCGAGACACTCTGGTGGCAAAGATGGATAACAAAGAAACTTGCCGGTGTCTTCTTGGGTTTGGAGTACGGACAAAAGTACCCTGAAGAAACTGGTCCCTCAGAGAATTTTGAACAATGGGCCTGCACCTCAAATTTCTACTACCCACATGAAAAACCCCTATGACAAGAGGTGTCCCTTGCGCAATTTTTACTTTTGTAATTACACTTTTCTGTAAATTTGAAATCATTTCCAAAAAATGTTTTAAGATCATTAAATATCAGATTGCAATAAAAAAGATCAAAATAAAAAAAATCTGTGTGATAAAAATAACAGGATTAGAATTAAATGACAAAATGTGAAACAAAAATAAGCAGGTTTAGAAGGACAAAAAACAAAAAAAAAGGACTTGAAAATCTAAAGATCAAGAGACTTAAGCAAATGAGACAAAGATGAAGAACAAAGAACCAAATGGTTCAAGGTAACTTTGAAGAATAAGGAAGAAAGAAAAATCATCTTACCAGACATGGTAAGATTTACAGTGAAGTAGTAATTACGACTGTGGTATTGGTGTTGAGACAAAAGATCCACATGCATGGACACAGGAATGATACAAGTCTACAGAGGAGGCACACATCAGAGGGACATTGTAACTAGCACAGGATGGAAGACTCAACACCTGTTGCTGAGACAAGATAATATGGAAGAGATATTTAATTTCCACTACATCCATCATATAAAAATTAGCCAGACGGGTTAAAGAAAGACCTAAATATAAAAAAAGCAAGAAAGACTTGAAGAAAATGGAATTTGATAGTAATTCGGAAACTTTCTTAGCCACAGGGAACAGGAACAAGACAGCTACGTTTACATCAAAACTCAAAGCTTCTATATGACAAGGCAAACATAATGGAAAGACAGCACATACAGGTAGAAGCTAAGAGTCACTTTGTAAGCTATGGAATGAATGAATTATCAGGTAAGACAGACTGGTGATCCAACAAAACACAAACAGGCAATTCGCAAAAGGAAAAAAAATCAATAGAAACATGGAAAGAAACTCATTATCGCTAGTAAGGAAATAAAAGTTCACGATTTTGCACGATCTAACTGACGATAATTAGGTCCGCTAATAAGTGAGAAACAGGAACCTGCACATCTTGTTGAGGGAATACTAAGTGGTGTCATACAGGAAAGCAGGTTAGCAACATTCAGTGAAGTTGAAGACGCACATAACTTACAATGCAGCGACTGTACCTCTTTACCCCAAAGAAACTCCTGCATGTGCACAAGGACTACTTAATAAGGTTTGTATAGTGTAATCTGTAATAACAAGTAGCCACCCTTAAGTAGGGACCTAGAACCTGTGGTTTACTCTGCACGCAGAAGTATTTGGCGTTTAAAATGAACTAAAGCGGGGCGCCTGGGTGGCGCAGTCGGTTAAGCGTCCGACTTCAGCCAGGTCACGATCTCGCGGTCCGTGAGTTCGAGCCCCGCGTCAGGCTCTGGGCTGATGGCTCAGAGCCTGGAGCCTGTTTCCGATTCTGTGTCTCCCTCTCTCTCTGCCCCTCCCCCGTTCATGCTCTGTCTCTCTCTGTCCCAAAAATAAATAAACGTTGAAAAAAAAAAAATAAAAAAAATAAATAAATAAATAAATAAAATGAACTAAAGCTACATATACCTCAACATGGATAAATACTAAAAATACTAAATAAAAAATAAGTTGCAAGAGATGTACACAATAAGATACCATTTACGTCAATGCTTTGTGCGAAAACACACCGTTTACAGACATATCAAGTAAAAAGACCTCACCATGACTTCCAACTTCAGGATGGTAACTACCTCTGGGAGGGAAGCAGTGGAAGGACTGGCTTTGGGAGGTAGGGATGGGGTTACAGAACAAAATGGTTTACTAGTCACCGGTAAGGTTTCACTTCCTTAAGAACACCCAAAGTGTATATTAATATGGCAAAATGACATTGGTTTAACCTTGACAGTGAATAAATCAGTTTTTTTGTGGTTTTTAGGGCTTTTGAATGTTTCATAATTTTTTTAATTGTTTATTTTATTTTTGAGAAAGAGAGACAACACAAGCAGGAGAGGGGCAGAGAGAGAGGCAGAGGGGTGGCCAGG